GTCAAACAAAAAAGTAACTGTTACACGTCGTTATTCGTCATTAGCCGGCAAGTAATTGTAGGGGAACATGGCGGGACGCAGGTGAAAATCATACCTGTAATTACCCGTCTGTGACCATCTTCCTGGCTTAATGAATCGAACTTTTTTATTTTCATATTCTAAGGAACAGTCTACTTAATTCCCACATAGTATAACGGTTTGCTTTTAACAAAAGTTCTCAGCTAGACTTTCAAGATGTTACCCGTATTACGCCGAAACTGTCACACTCTACTGAATACATGTGTCTATATATATTGTTGACACGTAGACCTGTCACAAACTTGAATGTTGTCCAACTGGTCAGCGTTAAGATGCTTATAATAACAAATGACCACTTATCGTACAAACTGACCCACAGGAGACAAAATTAGGTCATCATTGGGATTTAATTATGTAATACTTGTCGACAATTTTGTCCGAAACACGTGTGATAAACATGTTTGGTTTTTCTTTAAAATCCCTCCTTCAGCTGTAAAATCCAAAACGAAAGACACGTGTAACACAGAAAATTTGGGTTTATATCAATATTTTCCTTCAGTTTTCACGCTGAGCTTAAAGAACAAATAAAGTGAGGTACATGATTGAACTTCCAATTATTTAGGAAACAGTTGGTGTTTTGTAATGTTGCTAGTCCTTGAACGAGAAACCACGTGAGCCTGTCTTCGAGTCCTCTGTCTTCAGTTAGGGAAATTACCATAACAAAGGCCATTGCATCGACCTCTGTTCAGTAACAAGAGTGTTGTTTATCATCCGGGCTTAACGAATACTGTGCGTTTTGGCATACAAAGTTAACACACATCATCATAAACATTTGTTTTCAATGCTGTTTCGGAATCCGGAACGAAATTCTCCAAATTTGAATGCTTCCACGTCCAGGTGTGAAACGTAACTCTCGACTACAGTCAATTCGTCCAAGGTCAAGACTGAAGGTCATAAATCAAAGGTTAAGACTGACGTTCTATGGTTGCGATAAAACAGTCATATTAATGAGTGTTAGATATTTGAGAATAAAAAAAAGTATTTGATTTCCGAAAGTATCAAGGAATTTATCAATTTCAGAAGAAATTTACTGCATACTGTACATGTGTGTGGAAGTATGTCGAACTTAGGTGCTAACGTATGTGATCATAGGAGGTCCCATATCCAAAACTGTTGCAAACAGCCAATTACTTGTTATGGCATGTCATATTACATTTTAATATACCGAAGCATATTTCATGTGTTCTTTCCTACAAACTGTGTATAGAATAGCAATTATCAAAGCTGGAAGGCATTACCACCAGAAATCGTGAAAAGCTCCACGTGCGCACGTGATGTACAGGACATGCAATTGACTTCATGTGACAACCATTCTGTCACTCAATGACGGTACATTCTCAGGAAAAGTGCATGGAATTCGTAGTAATGGAAGTAATAAACGCCCGAAGTCCATGTCCTCCAAACCGGAGTGAACATTCCTCGAAATTCCAAGAGTTTCAATCCAAGCTGATTTAAAACCGCTTACCGCCTAGTGTACCGTAAGGTGTTAATGGCGCGTTTGCGAAGCCTCTGCTTGGCAAGTTTGTGTTTTCTAGTGTTAATGTCACCGATACTATATGCCTTGTCTGGATGACCTTTCCAGACTAGTCTACTTCGGCTCAAGAGGATTCACATTTCTACAAATTAAATTGATGGAACATCCCTCCTGCTTGCCGTAGAAGCTAATACAACATACAATAAATCTACCACGATAAAATATTTGTGTAAATTTTGTTTGGAATGAATTTCAGATATCTCAATTTGTTTTAAATGAATGAAATCCCGTAATATTAGAACAAGTTAGCAGAGGAAGCAATTGGGAATAAATGTGTTAGTCTTATTGCAAATTTCCAACTCGCGTCGTTTCCAAATAGCATGTTAGCGTGTTGGGTTTACTTAAAGTGCAAATATATATCTAAATCAAATTATTGCACCAGTAAGGGTCGCCACATTGTCGCATATGAAGTCCGGGTCCGGAGCCTTTTGTGAATTTGTCTAATGTATGGTAGACGGTATACGTGTTCCATTCTTGTCTTGATTGAAAGACAACCAGAAATCAAAATTTCTAGCATGTTTTCATTGAAAGAAGAACCCGATGGGAATTTACAACACACGTGTACATTCTGGGCCACGGTCGACTGTTCAATTGTCAGTGCTGTCTTGTTGACGGACATTGCAAACTAATTTATCGACTACATTGTCCTGAATATCTTTACAACGGGCTCTTCAGTGTGGAAGCCTGAATGTTGATATGCATGTAATGTATAGAGACGTCCCTGTAAGCGGTCAACGTATCACACGATATGGAAGCTTATATAAACATAGGGTGACATTTTCAGCATGCCGGTGACAAATTCGACAGTGAACCTACTCTGGCGGCTAAATGTCGTTACCTTTGTCATATCTGTATTTGACAAACAGACATGAAACAGGAATGATCTGTTTGGGAAGTTAAGAGATCGGGAACAACATAGCTGTTTAGGAAAATCTTGAATATGATATCAATTTAAACCGAAACCCTTTGTATTTCAATTTTCGCCAACTAACATCTAAACCATCGCTTCTCTAAGTCTATTGGTTGCCTTATCAAAATCTTAAGAGGAGATGTTGTTGTGCGTGAAGGAGACGACCGGAATCCATCAATTTAGTGTTTATCTGTGAGATATTAATTTAACAATAATATAGTACCCAAATAACGCAAATGTCAGGTAACTGTCAAGAGCTAAATAAACCAGGGATAAATCACTTTCAACAATACGCTTATTTTGACACTTGGGCGAAATTAATGGAAACCATGATTTATCGTTTCAATCGGGTATCCCATAAAATTTCTTCCCGAATACTGACTAAAAACGTTAGATGAGAACAGTGATAAATACAACGTTATCGAACAGTGTCTAAAATTACTCAACGTTACCACTTTGTCTGGTCACGAGGTCTCGATACGGTGACACGTGTAGCAGTAGAGCCATATGCTTCTTTATTAATTTCAAATCAGCCTTCAATCTAATTAAACCTTGTAAACAATAGAAAACCACGTTTCCTTTTTGTAAACTCTCAACAAACTTGATCAAATTAATGCAAAGCGTTTTTCTGACCGCGCTTTGTGTTATCTGGACTATTCCCGGGTCAAGTAAATTTAGAAGTTTATAATTAGTTTGATCTCGTAATATCACGTAGTTTCTTGGACGATTCTGAAGTGAATCGATATTGCTCTGAAAAAAAAAACTGTCGTCAATACATATGATTACAAATCACTGTATAAAATCCTGTTCGTTTGTTTGCTTTTCTCTTGCAGATCATGATGTTGTCTGCTATCACCTACTGAGACAATGTCCGGTCAAAGGCCTTACTGACCAGTATGACTCCTCGCGTCCACAATATAAGATTAGATACAAGATTCATGAATGTAATGTTGATGGATATTCCCAGCGGTCAAAACAACACAGTCGCATTTCTTTTTGATCGCGTACTGGTCTTGTAGGGTAAAATAATGACAGGTGACTAAGGAGGTAACAAAGACAGAAAAAAGAGAGAAAGAAAGAAATGTTTAAAATAAAGAGATGATAGAAAATGAAACGAAAATTTTGCAAACTGAATTTTGGCCAGCACGTAAATTTTTTTTTTTCAATTAATTTTATGCAGACTCTCAACAAAATTTCAGCAATCAGACAGGTGTGGCTAATATGTCATATTTGCACTTTCAATACCATTAGACAGATACATATATATGTATTCCAACGACATTTAAAGAGGAGATAACTTTTAACCAGATTTCCGGCATTCTACGTTAAGTTGCATATAAACCGTAAGTGATCACTCATTCAGAAGATAAAAATACTGAAGACGATCAAATATGCATCGGTGATAATTTGGTCGGAAAGAAACACACGTAATAACATTTTATTGAGTACGCGCTATCTGTAAAGTGGCATATATATCAATATGGTTTTAAAATATTTCATCGACATTGTAATTATGTAAATAATGATATCAGCTACAAAACATTTTTGAACTACGTATACTGAAGATTGACACGGATATATATGTACATGTACCAGGCAGTTCGGGTTTTATCACGGAACAGTTTACATATTGTCAATATGTTTACACTGGGCTGAGTTTTATCAATCTGCATGACATATCTTCAGAAGTTTGTCAGGGCTTGATCCAGGAACATTCCGATCTCAATCTGCTACATCGATAAATCTGATTTAAATTTGAATAGTAATGGTTTATAATGACGCAATATACAAGCGTCTACGTGATACTGCATTAGCCGCGTCATTGTAATGTTTGCACATTGTTTTGACATATACATGCAAAAGCTGATATTGACTCGACAAATCCTTTGTATGAGGATATCCACCTTATACAGAAATTTTGTAAATGTGCTAAGTAAATATTACGAGCTTCCTGGTGGATGGATCAAACAGGCAGAAAGAAAATAAGAAATGATAAGATTGTATCTTTAAGACAGGAAAACAGTGACTTGTCAACAAGTCTCCATCATTGAACGTTTTGATAAAGGTGTCACATTTAAAGCAAACCAAAGTTTACAATATATATACATAGATAGGTTAAGGGTATTAAGTGGCATTCACCCTTTACATGTGAAAATTGTAGTCCACAAAAATGGCAGGCATCGGGTCTTAGTTCATGTCTGACAAATTTCTCAACGTGCATAAACACTATAGAAAGGAACAATGTAAAATAATTCCCTTTTTGAGATTTTTGATTATTTCGAATAACAGTTGCTTGAATCACAATAACGACTATATGTTCTACAAAGAACCACGTTACAGCATGGCTTTTCAATCGAACACATGTTTGCTGTGAATTGTTACAATGCAAGACAATTTTCGACAGTATCAAGCAGCTTTGATGATATTGATATCAAAACTGATCTTAGATGTGTTTGCTTTCTATTGACGAATGCTTACCTCGAAAAAAAGCTTCTCGGTGATTACGAATGATTCACTAGTCTCCCTGAAATGCTGTCGTCATCATGTCACCCGTGTAACCGACTTCCGGCATACTCTTCTCTGTAAATACACAAAAGGTATTCCAAGATATTTAAACTTTAAAAAGCGAGTTTAAATTTCAGATCAGGATGATTAAATAATAGCCATAGATTGAAGCATTCATGTAAAATAAGTGAGTTATCTTAAATTCCATTAGATAATGTTTTCAAAACAGTCTGTATGTACCATGATTTATTTTCGATTTTGTGTGTGTGAGTGTGTGTGTGTAGGTTTTTTTTTAAAATCGCACTCTACATGTCACAAATATGCTTGGTGTTCTTTTCACGCGGATTTAGCGAATCACGAACTTACGTTCACAAAAACAAAACAAAAAGCACAAACAAACAAACAAAAAAGAAATATATATCTGTCAGTAACCATACTCTACTTGACCATGAATTACGGTAATAAACCTGAGGATTGAGGACCCTTTACTCGGATCGGTCAGTTAATTGCCCTCATTGGTATAACGCGGAGTGGTCATTCACAGCTCTCGAGATCATGACTCTCCAACAATAACTAGGGACTCTACCCTTTATCTATACCCCTGGTGAAGTGTCCACTTTCCGACATACCAATCTTCATTGAAGAGCCCTCGTCAGGTCTCGACCAATGTTTTACAGCAAACACTCGCCATAACAGCCCCGTTAAACAGACAAACATTTAGACAAAACTCGTCCATTTATCAGTAACGGACGTTTCTCGAGTGAGACTTATGTAAGTAACACCCAGCGTCGAATCGTATACATAGACATCTGGAATGAGATACCAGTGTTTCTCGTAAATTGAAACATCAATGTCGTTTTAAACGTCGGAACATCCTGTCGTATCCGCTCATGGCTACACACACGTCTGTCTAACGGTAAATTCATCTTCCTGCAATTGGGCTACATTGCATTTTTCACGTGAAAAGTATTTTTGTGGATATGGTCATAAATGTGACAAGCCTAGTCTCAAAGCTTAAAAGCCTCGATTATAAGACGGTAATAGGGTTGAAATTGAACCTAGACGACCGGTACAAAATGTCCATCTCGATTTCTATATACTTTACAAACACGAGTTAACTTGGGGATTAGAATCGGCGACAGCGCTATATGAACGCGCCCGTCAGTTAGAGAGACGCGAACACATCCGTCTGCCAGTCATATTGTAGTCTCAGAGTCCAACTCCAAAGATTATCTAACCAAACTTAACAAAGTGTCCGGTAGTCAAAAATGGGAGTTCAGTGTTATAGGTACATTTTTACTAACAGTACAGAGATGCATTTTTTGTTATTTACATTCTCATGTCTTCCAAACGAGTATACAACAATTTACACTAAATGGAGCGTGGTCCAATTGCCATTTCCATGATGAGAAAGCGTAAGGGGCGCTCTTTCTCATCTGATGTTTTTACTCTTAAGCCTTTATTTGGTTAAATTGTGTTAGCACATTCTGGAGTAGTAGTCATCATGAAGATATCCTTGTTTCCCTTATTTTGCCCTGCTATTTTATACCCTGATGGTACAACATATTTTATACAACTTTTTTTACTGACTCATCATAAAAGAATTGCTAGAATATGGCTAGTCGTTCATGAGGAATCGAATCTAAAAAAAAAAAAAAAAAATTAGAATATAATAGACAACTGATTTCCGACAGTGCAGGAGGAAGACCTCGATAGCGCGAAATCAATGGGAAAACGTGATTATAATCAAATATACACTAGTCCGCAGAGATATACGGGCGAAATATGAAGCCAAGTAAACGCCTTTAGATTTACTAATGATACAATGTAATTTTTATCTGATACCAGACCTGAATTTATAGGTAGATAATTACATTAACACGAGCTTTTTCGTGGATTTCAACAGATTCTAAAACTGAGTTATGGGATACTTCGGCTCCACACATTTCTCGGTATAAGTTGTCAACTTTTCCGAAACCCATTCCCTTAATTATAGTCGGAGATCGCAAAAACGTAAATAAGCAGTTTTTATCTGATCCAATGCAAATGCACGTGCATGTTCTACAATATCAAGCCATAACATGTAGTGTACGCCTGGTTCGCTTAACATTTCTGGAAACTAACCCTCATTGATATATCTAATATTAGAACTGTATTCAGGAATGGACATTCTTTAGGAGTGGAGGATTCTAATTTAATAAGCTTACAAAGATCTCTACGTTTCGAAAAAAGAAATTACAGATAAAAGAAAATACGAGATTTGACATGTTCGTGCGGGTTATAATAAGGTTGCTGTATCGAAATGGAACCCTCATATTAACTATCAGCTTGACACGCTGACAGGAATGTTACAAACTAAAAGCCACGATATAAAATTATATAAAAACATAGCAGTATTCAAGATAAATTTTATTTAAGCATGTAATGGATAAATTTCCGAATTCCAAAGATAAATAATTCTGATATTCATGTAAAAACCTTTTAAAAAGTCTTATCTTTATTTTTTTATTTCATTATCGCAGTTCCGCAATAATTTCTTTCTTTCTTTCTTTCTTTCTTTCTTTCTTTCATGAACAACTTTTGTTGTATCAATAAATTTGGTCTATTTGAGAGTGATCGAGATGGATACAATATGCGAGCCCAAGCTGTTTTCTAGCGTTATTCACATGATATCATTTATAGACCAGCTACATAGAGACACCGCGATACTAAGTCCAGATTCTTAAACTAATCTGAATGGCGAACGAAAACTAATATAGGCCCTTAACTTTTTATCGTTTGTTAAATCTTGACACAAGCTAAAAGCAATATTTAAAGTCCAAAGAGATTTGACATGTTTTCAGTAAAATATTTACGACTTCCTAATGTCAATGACATAATCATTTCAAAAATCTGAAAAAAGTAAGTTATTGAATAAAGTTGTAAATTCAAAAATGAATCACTGGTTTAGTTATTTATTAAGAGTAGTGGTAACACGCGCAGTTTCAGGGAAAGAAAGAAATGTGCTCTACCTCGTTTCATGGTGCAAGAGACAAAGAAAATCTATTTAACTTTCCTCAGTATCAAATCTTTCTTTTCTGTCTTCATTGTTCTTTCCGTCTGTCAACGCACGTATCACATGTCCCTGTATATAGCAGAGGAATGTATGGGCCGATTAAAAAATACACTATATGATACCGTGGATATTGGCATACCTATTTTACACGTCAAATGTTGAATAGCTATATCCTCTCAAAGCGATACGATATTAAGATTAAAATACAAGAAACTGCCTTTCCTTTAAATAAATCTGACGTATTCTTTCGTTCTAATATAAACGTGATTTATTATTGATGGTGAAACACATACTGATTAATCATACAATGACAATATTTCCGAGTGACCCTGACGAAATTCCAAGCACATTGCCCTCGGATTAAGTCTCCATAAATTCCGGATATGTCCCGCCCTGTAATCAGCACGTTAACGATCACGTATTTGGACCATGAGACCATTATGTATTTCCAGGAAACAGTATATATAATCCGGGCCAAACTGTCGTGACAGTAGGTTGGAGGCTGATAAATCTATTTCGTCTGTAATAAATCAATGCTCATTTAGTCTGGTTCCTTAGCCTTGAACTAAAGGTCCTGTGTTGGAATACGTCTTTATCTTGTTAAATTTTTGCCTCTTATCGGCTGTTGTTGCAAGTTTTCACTTCCACCCCTATAGCGCCACAAGTGACAAAAATGTATTCAATTAAACATCATCATGAGATCTGAAAAGCAGCTATAGGTATTATTCTCACAGGTTTACTGACATTTGACTGCGTTTGCATTAATTCGTTTACAGAAACACGTCTCCGACTCGAAAATCCAAATATAGAGAACCCTCTAATGACTGATTCGGCAAAATTCAGTTTCTCATAATTCAAACTGAAACAAGTCAGTAAACTTCATTCAAACATGGTTTGGTAATTTCATCGTTTATTGTATGTGCAATAACTACAGAAATTGTTATTGAGATGCATGTTTTAATTATCACCGGAGGCGCCATCACTAGAGTTCAGAAATTAATTTTCTCGCTAGTGTATAGACGAGGAGGCGCGTGTTAGCCCGAGAAAGGTACACGAGGCTGGCAGGCGAGATCTCGTCTAAACGAGATTACAACAGGAAAGATAGAAACGATAACTAAGGTTGATCAGACGATCGTTTGTACGTGATTCTATTAACTGCTGTCCTTATTCTGTGCTACTTTCTTATAAATCACTACAATATAGTGATCCTGATTGTATCAGACGCACGTGGTCACGCGCTGGCTACCAGAAGAGACACAATTATTCAAATGAGTATTTAAATGAAAGTGTTGTCTGATTCTATCATGAATCGTCTAATTGATAAAATGTCAAATCTATTTCAATAAAGAAAATAGTTATTGAAATTCCGTTTTGTTATTCGTATACAGCAAATACTATTTCTTCCATTTTTATTCCAGTCTTATCGAACGTTTGAATATGGTGGACAAAACAAACACTCACATGACCAAGAATATCATGGCAGCTTTTGTCCATTGTTACACCCTCCCTTGTGAATTTATGGCATGTATTGAAATAAAAAAAAATACCGACTTTGACATGTTACTTGTGTATGTTGCCCTGGTGTATTTGCAATGTATGCAATGAATACATTGGATTTGACCTTTATCTACCTCCGTATATAAGAGTTCATTGTTCGGCGTAAAAGCTGATGGTAAACACGTGTTTATCGTACCAATGAATGCTGACTTTAAAGTTTTGTGTGCTGTGTGTTAATTTAATTTGAAGAGTTCCACGGGACATCGATAGAATTGTAGAGTTCACACTGAAATACAAATGTTGCATGGAAAACATCACACGATGACACTTTGAAAAAGGTTGACTGTACTTTAAGTAGAATTCTAAACGTCTTGGATCTTGGGAGATATTTGGTACGAGAATGTGAAAATACGCAAAGCACCCATTATCGATAATTAAACTAACGAATCAATTATCAATTGGGTGAATAACACTTCCTCTTAATTTCTCGAATTTGTATCAGAATTGAAAATAAATTTGTTTC